ATAGCTCATTTACGTGTAAACGTATAATATGGGGTGTATCATTTAAAATTCCCACGTAACAGGAATTTTTATATCTTGCCAATTGGGCCTTATCTTATGCACGCCTTGTACGCGATAAGTAAATTCTCATCGTATATTACGATAAAGCAATTTAACCAAACCAAACTCTACCGACAACCGCAACCAAAAACTCTACGGGTTGCGAAAAAAAATATTATTTTATATCGAGTTGTTTGTTGCCAAATTTCTTAAAAAGTATTTTTTATTTCCGAAAATGTTCGAGATAGGTATATATAGGTACAAAAAAAAGTTCCACAATGCAATCTACGGAATCTACAAATGTAATAATATACAAGATGTTCTATATAAAAAAAACGAAAGTTGACATACGTCACGAGTATATAAAACTATTTTACGTAGGTAGCTTATATTCGCTTATATAAGAAACCAACATTTCACGTTAATACCGTAAGTCAGTCTTCATAAACGTCTAATTGGACAATCACCGTGAATAACCCTGCATAAGTAGTAACTGAGTTTGTTCAAAGGCACAATTTAATGATAAGCCGAATAATCTCATTTTATCCGTCATTTTTTCACAAAATGGAAGCTTTTAGCTATTCCAACTGAAGGTGCGCATGGGTGGGAATGACCGTTTATATCGCGCCGAGGTCAAACCGCCAACTCCCAGAGCGAGAAGACCGGGTAGTATACCGGGAGTCCTTTTTTTCCCTCTTTTATTTATATTTTCCGGCGAGGCCTTTTTTAATTTTAATATGAAATTACGTCACGTAATGATATTAAAGCAACTGCGACATATCTCAGAGGAGCCATCACGGTTCTAATTACATTGTTCGTGATTTAGCGTATGCGGCAGGAAAAATATACAACCGGGCGTACGTTTGTATTTATTTTTCTGTACCCCGTCGTCGTCGTGGAAGGTGGGGTGAGGCGGGGGGCGTTGAGCCCTTTTTTTTGCGTCTCCGTACGGCAGACCCGGACTAATCTGCTGCACTGGCGCCGGTATTCAGGAAATGGTTTGCATTTCGTCAGCCACGCCGGTATCCAGCACCTGGATGATGCCTGATGGAAGCACGAGGTTGTCATTTGTGCTCATCGGATGAAGATTCGACCAGACTAGAAGATGCAAACGTCTGGTGCATAATGGTACGTTACATTCCCCTTTAACTTTTCCACTCCAGGCTTATTTTAAAAGATTAAAAGACGTGAGAAGAAGAAGTTTAATAAAGCAGCATTTGAAAAATCACAAAAATGTGCTTCTTCAACTGCTTGTGACGTAATCAATCTAAATATATATAAACGGGCCCCCTATCCCTCGTCCATAGTCGCGGTGGGTCCCACTTTTTGCTGTTGACCCGGTAAAATCTCCCGAAAACTTTGGAAAGTCCTTTAAGATGTCCGAAGACGTCCCGGCCGTGATAAAACGATCTCCACCACCTTTCAACGATAAACGAGATCGTGGAACAGTGCCGGACTTGCCCAAATATCGAAGGAGAGAAAGTTTAGATTTAGTTGAGGTTATGTCTAACGGGAAGAGGAAGAAGGAGGGTGAAAACGAAGGTTCGGAACATATTATTCGCAAAGCGTCAAAACCCCCAAAACCTCTTTTGTTCTCGACCGCCGACCAAAAACGAGGGCCTATGGTTTCCACGATTTCTATAATCTGCGGTGTGTCTTACCAAAAAACAGATAAATTTTATTAGTCTTTTCTTAATTTATTTTTCCGCATTCCGCGCTCCTGTTACTCAAATAGAGTCAAAATTTTCAAATCTGTTTTCGATTACTATATAATTTTTATAAAATCGGCGACGGTTGCCAGCCCCACCCTGACGCCGCCCCCACGATCCACCGCCACGGATATTTATGCATGTAAACTTAGCCGAAGATCAGCGGCGGTTGTTAATCTCCAGTCACACACAAGTTGTTAAGACTCCGGGAACAATAACGAGCCCTTAAATTATGGCATTGTATTCTTGGGCTTAAGACGCCCGACCAGGACAAAACGGGATCTCTCGGACCGTGTTTTACGTTTGCCCACCCCCCTGCCCCGAGAGGTTGTGTTGGGGTGTTAGAAAAACGGGTTTATTGTGTGTGTTTCCTCGGGAATCGTTATTGCCGGTTATAAGACGGTGCGGGAGATTTGCCAGGCCCAACTTTGCTAATAACTTCGTCAACCCCACACCCCGTTCGCGTCAAAAGATGTCTCAAGCCTATAATAGAAACACAGTGACGGTAATTTGTTTGAAGTTAGGTTGGGCGGTTCCTCCTCAATTTTTGCGAATTTTGCAGATGCATGAAGTGCATTCGGGTTTGTTTGTGTTTGTTTGGTTTGACTGAGCGGACCTTGACTCGATCCTATAACTATCAAACTGATAGCGAACTGGTAAAAACGCGCCCGTAAAAACCTCGGCGTACACTTTGTGACATAACCTAAATTATTTGTTTTGACTTTAGTTTAACCGAATTTTACCGGTTGAGTCAGAGCTAACCTATAAACATAAATCTGTTAGTTTCTGTTAATATGGCGTCCAAAACCGCCTCGACAAAATCTTCAATTTCTGATGATGAGGAAGACCTCTAACTTTGAGAGCTCGACCAGGTTCCTGGTATTTCTGGATGATCAATGAATGAATAAGGTTTGTTTTGTTTTAAAAATTAGAATCGGTTCTGTTCAATAATTGAACTGCGTTGAAATGAATGCGTCTGAAAAATAATTCGCAAATTTGGAAGTAAAAACCACCTATTCTAGGGTGCTCATCTGTCAACTGACAGCTGATGTCATCCATTCTGCAATTTTCAATTTGTCTCTGGTTGCGGCGAATTAAAAGAATACCATGTGTTCGTTCACAATAGGTGTTCTTTAAGATCTAAGTGTATTTATACGTGCCGGTTATCCTATAGATGGTTCGTTAACAGTGGAGGACATACAATTATATAATTCTACAAAAATAAATTATTATAGCGAAGTCAATATTATACCTACATTTCTAGCTGATACGGTTTTAATTTATACATAAAAAAATTCAGAAGTGTTGGCAAATATATCAATTAATGATTTAAAAAGACACTGGCTGTTAAATAATAAAAAATAAACATTGCAAAAACTAAATAAATTTTATTTAAACAAAAAATCACCATTTCATCAGCAGCCGCGAAAAACTTTGTTTCCATAGCAACTATGAAACAAGTTAGAGACATCATTATAGGAAGGATGTTTCATTCCTTTGCCTTCCATTATTTTAAGAAAAAAAAATTAAGGTCACTGTGCCATTTAACAATAAAAAGGAATTTATAGGTATTATGGCGCCATCTATGTGTTGGCCTGTTACCCAAATTAAATACGCACCCACTTGAATTTAATGATGGAAGAAGCACTGTTGTTTCTACGTCAAGGAAAATCACAGCGTTATGTGGAAATTAGATGTGGTATACCAAGTCGCACGCTTACAAACCATTTGGAAGCCGGAGCTGAGCTCATTTTTATTTATGGTGGGCCTTAATACCTCCGGGGACCTTAATACACAAAACTTAAAATTGAAAACTAATCGCAATTACAAAGCAACGCTTAAAAAATTCAAATATTTTTATTCTGACCAATTAAAAATTTGTTCTTTGGTTTAATTTTTACTTTCCGAACTTCTTTTTCCATGTTATTATTTTCTTTTAATTTTTTAATATTCTTTGCGTTAAGAATTTTCTTCGTGTTGTTTTCCATTAAACGTCATTGTAACGAACAAGGCGGTCGAGAGGAGGGTGGGAGGATGCGCTGGCAGCGATCGCAACCCTCCACCCCCCGCCCGCCCATAAAGAACTTAATCCGGAAAAATCGGCAGATTTTCCGCGACAAAAACCGGCGGCAATTTTTCTCAATTAGAGTTTTAATTACGCGGCGCGGGAAAAAAACCGGAAAATTATTTATTATTATCGAATAAAAATATCACTTTTGCCCTCGCCGTCGGGGAAATGGAAAATCCCCCGTGATAGATGTCGTTACTGTGTAGGTATAATACGGAATATGATGGAAAACATTGTCGCCCGTTATTAATGACGCCTACCGTCATAAAAATTTTCGACACGTCCCGTGACGGAGCGGCGTTGCCACACTTATCGCGAAACCGGGAAGAAGTATCGACTTAGATTAAATAGAGAAAAGCCGACTTAGAATTGAACAATTAAATCAAATTGCCAAGAATAAAAACTAATAAGGGCATCCAAGATATCAAATCTGTCCCTTGTAAGACGTAAAACGAAACATGAACCCCTTCCGAGTCCGCGTTGTTCAAGAACTAAAATGAAATTTGGCAATCGCGCTGCGCTTTCTCATATGTCCGTTTCCCTTTCTCTATATTGCGTTATTTTCTATAATTTATCAATTCCTATTATACCTATCCGTCCGATTCGGGAGATAAATGAACTGGCGACAGACGAAAAATTGGTAGAACGTGATGATCTTTTGTAAATATTCGGAATACGCGTTGTCCACTTTTTTTACGTCTCTTTTGACGCATCGTTGTTTCAACATTAATACCGCGCCAATCTTCATCCGCAAACACATGCCGCTATTTTGTAGATGTAAGGGCAACGTATCGTACGGTAAAGTTAAAAGCAGAGCGCTTTTTATCAATCACGGGCAGAATTGGCACGAACGTTCCCGTTAATAATTAATATGCCATTACGGCAGGTGAATGAGTCATGGCTAGAAAACACCCCAGTTGCCGTTTTTCAATTTAGATTTTCTTTATTAAGTCGTTTTCTTTGAGTCTCCAAACGTTTCTGCGTTTTTTGTGATATATTGCGTTGAAAATCACCCTCTTTGTAGGATATTTTGTGAATAAAAAGTCGATATTAAATTTGAAGAATGCAGCTTGATCGACATAAGCAAGCGAAGAGAATACGTTTGACCTACATTTCTCAGAGTAGTTCAAGTGACCTGCCGTACGCCGGTAAAACAGGTCGCGCTATACCGACTTGCACCCGGCCTCAGCTGTTTTCGGATTGTTTGTGTTTTTGTATTGAGTGATTTTTGCGATAGAAAACTAGATTTTCCGTCTAATATAGCGCGAAATGAGTTTAACCGACTATCTAAGACTCGGCGAGTGTAAAATCTTCAAGGAGGCGTGCGAGGGTCTGCCACGAAACATATCCCGTACGCTCGAGCTCGTCGCCGTCCGGGATGGCGTCCTGTTTACGTGGGATTTTCAGAATAACTGCGTGCTGGCGTTAAATATTAAAGCAGCCCGGGGCAAGGACGGGGACAACGTAATTCACCAGGTAACTTGGCGCGAGATTTTCAACTCAGGAGTAACATAACCTCTAAACGCCGCTTTGATTTGCCAATTCTCGAATTGCGAGGTGTTGAGCTCAAAAATTCAGGTTGCAACTTGTTTTTACATTGTCAAAATTTGCTCCACACTTATAAAACTGTAATATGTTTGCGAGAAGAATAATCATTCTATATTTCGATAAAAAGCTAACATAGTTATTAAGTCACGTGGTTTGAGAGTAATATTCGGCTTGGTGCGTTCAAAGGCGCGCTTCGAATAAAAAATATAAGAGAATTTGATTAGTTACGCCGGGGCGCAAATGTATAGCTTCGCTTTTGGTTCGTTCCTCGAGATTCCCGAGGGATCGTGTCATTACTTGGACGACGACGACGTCGGGAGAGTAGTCCCGGAAAAATGACCGGGTCGGGTCTCTAGGGACCCGGGACCAATAATGGCGGCGCGTTTGTTTTCGTTTGTTGATACGAGACATCGGTCAGGGGTGACGTTTCCATCGAATTCGTAGCGAGAATACTCGACTTTTATCTGATGGCGTTGTTATAATCGGGTAATAATCTGTCTTATTATAGAAAGGGAAGGGTGGGTCAGTCCCAGGGCCAGTGTATTTAGTACTTTTATAAGCGTTGAAAATTACGTATTTAGTACGCTACATTGTTACAAGTTACTGTAATAGTATTAAAACATAACTGAGTGATTGATTAAAAATATAAAATTACCCCCAAGTTGTATTTTGAGTAGCAAATTACAAGAAGTACAATTCATACTAATAGATCATTTCCTTTGCGGACGACGAAGTAGGCGCGGACGTGATAATGGAAAACGGTTTAGAAATATTAAAGATGCTTGTAGACACTGTTAAATTATCCCTTTATATAAGCAAGACTAAATATATAACTTTTTCTCTAACTTGGAAAACCGACCTTGCTTTTCAGACATACACATTGACGTAGAATTCATTAACGAAAGTAATGATAAAAACCATAATTAGGATGATCATTTTCTGTATTTCACAAAAATAATTAGATCTTTTTTGCAACATTTTTTTATTATGAAAATTAATTTGCAAAAAATACTAGTCCATTTACTTATAAATCATTAATTGAACCGCTATGATATTCTGATATTTTGATAAGGTGTACCAATTAAGAAGAACACTGCCCTTTCTCTTCAAGTAATTCTAAAGACTTGAGTGCAAAAATGTTGGACATTATTTTTAAATTTCTAGGGGCGTAACCGCATTCTTGAAGTTTTTGAGAAATAATCTTATATTACAGATAACGTTGTTCGTTTTAAAAATGGGATAAATTGGAGGCTTTTATGTAGAATATTTTTTGCATTATGTCAATATCAATAATTTCGGAATGACTGAACGCATTTTGTCAAACTTGCAAGCTTTTCTTAGACCATCAATTATTTCGATTGCTTGTATAGCCGAGACATCATTACAAATAACATTTATTTTCTCAAAAAAATGAAAGGCAACGACATAAATTTTATTGCAACAAAAGAGACATACAACCTAAGATATAAAAACAAAATAATGTCGGCATCTTTGGGAATATTTTCGGAATACCCATTAAATACTCATATTTTAGCAAAAAAATATAAATTTACTGCTAAAACGCCTACATTATATTTAATATATCAATAATAATTAATACTCATTCCCATAGGATTGATTATTGCAGTACAATATTGTTTGCCACAGTTTGAATTTGTTTTGTTTTATTTGCATTTTTATATTTTTGGGGAAACGCTCGGCACAGTTAAAAACCAAACTAACGGTTCCAAAGTTATCAGGTTTTGGGGAAAAACGGACTTTGCTACAACAAATATATTACAATAATGAAAAACAATATCGCAAATAAAATCCACCTTTGCGTTTTATTGTATCGCATTCCCACAAATTCCAACAAAAACAGTCGCGTTTTCAATATTTTGAAAATAAACACTAAAAATAAGCCTTCTACAGGTTGAAAATACATTTTTTTACAATATGATTGACACTCAAACACCACCATAATAATTTTTGTTTTTTTTTGTTTTCCAAAGCACATTTGAATTTTGAAAAATTCGAATTCCGTGCGGTCTGTGGCAATATTGAATAAGTATCAATTTTTATTGATATTTTAAATATTTTTTTTGTATTTTAGCAGTAAATTAATTAATTAATTTATTTGAGAGCGTAAATTATCATTTAATATTGGCAGGTATACTGAGAGTGTTTCCAAATGTACGACATAATTTCGAGTTTTTATTTCCTTAACGGATTTAGGTTAGGAAAAAGACATCGAAATGCGGTTTTCACTACCTAGCCTCTTATTTGGCTATCTTTTGGTTGAAAAAAAATTGATATAGTTGCATTTAAAGTAAAGATCATTTAACAAATCATTTACAAATTTGTTAATAAGATTATTTCTTACAAGACGGGATTTAAAATGCAACAATTAGGCCTAAGTTTTTCTTTGTTGGTACATCTTCAGTCGTTAAGAGTAATTTAATTAAAATTATGCTTAAAAGATCGAAATTTTACTCTACGTGCTTTATATTACATAAATTTGCAGCATGAACACGTTGTTTATGTTGAATACATATATGCATTTAAATTCATAAATATTCTTCCAGAGAAGCACTAATCAACCATAACTATTAAACTAAAGCTAATATTCACACAAATTTTATCGTCTCTAAATGTAATCGAACTAATAATCAGCTGGCAATCATTCATTCAGAGTTCTTTTTATTATAATCTGCTTCCTATATAAATTCAAATATTTGAGATATTTTCTAGGAAAGCTAAAAACTGTATTTTCCCTAAAATCCCAGAATCCAAAACTTACAACACAATAGAAGAAAATTGCTGAACCCAATTAGAAGCTCCAAGTTGAATAAATAAAAAAAAGATTCGTTTTGGAATTTCGGAAATATCGCGGAATGTTAAAAACCGCCTAATAGGCCCTCGGTTTGCCAGGAACCGCTTTCTGCGCCACCGTTAAGGACCCGTCGCTCATCGCATTGCCCGCCCAGCCCCCGCCGCCCTTTAAGCCGCCGCCACGCTCTTGCAAACACAACAAAGCAGCACAGGAGGATTCCTTATGGCCGGATCACGTGACTATAAGCTCGTGGCGGCCAATATGCTGCGCCGGACAATGGCGATGATGCACGACGTCGTTAAGGCGACGTCACACCGGCGATTGTCGCGCGCTGCGACGCAATTTATTAACGAAGGTCGTTTTTACGCGGCACCGTCGTTTGTCACCTCCCGAAGGACTTGGAGGGGGGAGGTTCTTTGCCCCGCGTTATTATCGCGCGTATGTGCGATATTTATTGCGATGGGGGCGAGGGGGAAGGAGGCGGGGTTGGTAATTTCGTTTTGGTTGTGTGTGAGATAATCGACGGGCCGCACTGCTTTTGTGTGCGAAAAGGGCCGATATTTTATTGCTCCGCACAATGGCGGTTGTAAATGGCGCGCCTTTCAACTCGGCCCGGATTGCGTACCCCGGCACCCTCGCAGCATCGAAGCACGCACACGCGCAAGTCGGGAATGATTTAAACGTAGAGAGGCCTACGCCGCTGATTTTGGTACTATTGGTTGTCAATTTCAACTAGTAATATTCTGTTTAATGAGCGTTTATTTTAATGTTAATAAATAAAGGCTTCCAAATTATGCGGTCTGGTGAGAAATAAAATGCCCTGTAGTAGTGCAGAATATTTTAACGACCGAATTTCACATCTTGAACAACGAGGTTGAGGGATTTGCATTTTACTGAGTTCCGTAGATCGGTGATGATACTACAGATAGGTATGGTGCTACTGAGCTCTGCGCCACAGTGAAATTGACAGCTCCCGCGGCCCTCGGGCGATAAAATAACGGTTTTGGCGAGCATTTGCTTCGACGATATACGAAAATGAGAAATATTCAAATGAGAAAAAGATCCTCCGGCCTCCCCGTCCTCCTCCGTCGTCGTTGCGGCGCAAATCCGGGGCGAAACCGCCGGCTTATCCGACCGTGTGATTTCCAATCTGTTTAAAAACTTTATAATTGAATAATTTTTCAATAAAAACAAGCGAAGCGAGACGGCGGTATCGGAGGCAAAGAGAGAGCCGCCCCATCGGTGCGGGACGGCCCTGAGATCGACCCATTCATCCGATCGACGTCAGTGGGTGTCGCAGGAGGGGGGTGGATGACATAATTCGATTACCACGATATCTCTCGCGATAATCTAATAAGTTTTCCGTTTGTGTCCTATTCGATGCGCTCGTTTCCGCGATGATTTTTTTCCTGCGACGCGATCGACGGTGGAAAGGGGTGGGAAGCGTGAACTTTTGCGACATTTAGGAGATACGCTAAAAATCGGGTTTATTAGCCGGCTGACATTTCGTTTCTCGATATGCGGGCTGCTCGTAAACCACGTATATATCGTCACCGACGACGCGTTCTTTTTTATTCGATTTCCTTTACTTCTGTGAACGGATCGTCGCCCGTCGACATTTTCCTACCTGGGAACACTTTAATTTGAATGTGCGACCTTTCATCTCAGTGATAAGACCACAATTACCAACGCTGCCTGGCTATGGTGGAGCTCTACTGAGGGCCATATCGGCGCGAGTGCAAAGATTGGATGTCTAATGGTGATCGACAATTTGAAAACCACACCAAAAACTGATACCTGTTTCGTGCAGGAATCAGATGTCCTCTCTATGAAGAGGGACCGGATTGAGGCTACCTTATCAAAACATAGAGCATGCAGGACGAGGATTCCTAAAAAGCATGAACATGGACTAACTAAAATTAACCAAAACAAATACAAGGGCTGGAGCTCCTAGGGCATAGATACCTGCGCCTGTAGTGATCTATCCTACTGCCCCAGTAGGGATTTATGCAATAATGTTTTGTGCTCACGAGAACCTTGAGACTATCGAAACAGGCAGAGAAGACTAGCGGATTGTAATTTTATCAATCTCGTATGGGTAGTCGCTCATATGTAC